GCACCAGCATTTATTGACCAAATTATCAGCCCCATCAGGCTGATTTCTGATACAGTAAATTTTCTTTATATTGGTACCAATCTAATATCAGACCAGTGTATCGGTGTACCTCTAAAGATCATACTATAGACCTTGTACTAAGAGCCATAAAAAGGGTGGCAAAAGAGCCACCATTACCAGCTTTTCCTCCTGCTAGAAACTTATCCACAGAGAACCTCCATGGAGGTGGACAAAGTCAGACTCTTTCATTGGCACTTAAACACAAAAGGAATGGAGCTGGGCAAAGAATATATCCCAACATTCAAAAAAAGCACAACAAAACCCAGCTTCACTGGTGTTTTAAAAACCCAGCTTCACTGAACCCACAACAAAACCCAGCTTCACTGAAATGCATTTGCCCATGTTCATGACTAATGTTATTCCATATACATTTCATTGTATTTAATTGTACCAGGGATGGAAAGAGAACCTGGATTCACATAATCCACAGTTATTGTTAATTAGTTACTTAGAAGGGTTCTGGTGTTGAAGATTTTGAAGAAAGTCGGATGCTATGGAAGGACATTCCATTTTTTCAGAATTAACTATCTTGTCATACTACTTTATCAATGTTTTTATTTTAAGCCTGGAGAAAAAGTGTCAGTAATGCACTCAGATGCTACCTTGATGAGTGTGGGGTCAGCAGGTGGATGGGTGGATAGATTTACTTGCACTGACTATCATTAAATGGCAGCATTTGCAGAATTCTCTATAGGAAAGTAACTGAGATAACGTACTTTTTCTATATTTAGAATGGACAGTAACCAGGGAATCTGAAATATATTTGTATGGAAACTGCAACTGTTGATTTTTGTTTGTTTGTTTGGGTTTTTTTACACTTTTTAATGGTGGTAATTGCACATATACAGTACACACATTGTTAATAGACATGTAATTTTTTCTGCAACTAATAAAAAAGTATGCATCAAATGATGAATACGACATAGTGCGGAATTGTCTGGAGCCACCTAGACCATGGAAAATTAAGTAATAACTATTCTCTAAGCTCCACAGCATAATCAAAGATTTTGCAAAGAAGTAACATTTGCAGAGCTGGGATGCTTATATGTACTTCAGTCATGTTCATTCTCAATAGCTAGTCACTGTATTATGCCCTTCTCATTTTTGTGAAATTGTAAAGTGTCATTTTAATTGTGCATAAGTGTGTGTGTTTATATGTAGAATTAAAAATGCTATAGTGACCATTGTAAATAAAATAATGTTTTGTATTATCATTTACAGGGTAGCTATCAAATAATTGCCTAGGTTTTAAAGGTCAATCCTTTCCATTAAACCAAATAGTCTGGTTTAGCTATTTAAAGCATGGTAGGCCAACTAATCAAAACAACCATAAGAAGCAAATGTTATAGCTCTTTTTCACAATGGAGATCATTATAATTGGGTTAACTGGCTAGGTGTGAATTTCAGCCCAAATGAATGTTTCTTTCAGAATGTAGCTTTGCTGGAAGGCATTAACATGCATGGGAAAACTGTCTGGATGACCCTTCTTCCAAAGGAACCATAGTTAAGACTGTAAGAAACATGAAATGGGAGGGGGGAAGATGAAAATAAACTCAATTATTTTAGGTGGTGGAGCCCCTTTTCCTTTTAAATCATACTAATGAACAGCTTTTCTCTGCCCTCTCCACAGCCTGTGTCCTCTCAGCTTTGTTCTCTTTTAAGTCCAGCACCAACAAGTATATTTTGTATTTGAAATGACAAAAGGCCAAGTCTATGTCTGTGCAGATGGCACTGCCCAAAACTTAATTTCAGCTTTTATGGCTCTGACATGATGCATTTAGGCTGTCTCTGCAGCTGTACTGCAAAGGAGATGTACAGCCCTTCTTATTTACTAGCGACTCAGACCTGAATGCATCAGCCCCAGGTGCTATTTTATCATTGATATTTTAGCATGTTTCTTCTTATGATTGTAGTTGTATTGCAATGTAAAAAAAAAACAGGCAAATATATTTACTACAGCTAAATGTGCCTTTGAGAGGACAAATAAGAGGTCTTAGACTTTTAAAAACTTTTTTTTTTAAATGCATTTTCAAATCAACAGTCCTACTAACATTTATGGTGGTTTCCTGGCTTGCCAAAGTGTACTTTTTTGATAGCAACTGAAACCACAAATTGTCATTATGTGGTTAAGTGAAAACATCATTTGTAACTACTCATCACATGTAATTCTTGAACAACCAAAGTGAGATGCAACTAAGAGACAGATGCTGGGTGTTATAAATGATCTTATGTTACACATTTTTTTTTTTTTTTGTAATGGTGGCTCTCTGAAGTATTTTGTATCATTAAGGATGGTGGAAACAGACTCCTAACAACACACAGTAGTCCAATTGCATTTTTTTCAGCTAATAATGAATTGTTTTATTGTCTTTGAATAAGGTAGCAATGCCTAATAAGAGAGAAAAGGGGGGGGGGGGGGGGGGGGGGGGGAATCTTTCTCCTAGAGCAGAAAAAAGGTAAATTGTTAACTAGATTCTGGCTTGGGTTGAATTTCCAGAATATATGGGTTATAACTTTTTAACAAGACTCCTTAGAGATGTATTTGTTCTATCTGTTGGTTTTATTTATTGTGATTTTATTGTTTAGGAATTAATGATGGAAACTGCTGAAGCAGAAGGAGAAAGGCCGAATAGTTACAGATCAGAAATGGGCTACTACAGACTTTTTTGAAATGCAAACTGATTTTTATTTGGTATTAATTCCCTAAGAGCTTTTCCTTAAGGTTTACTTATAATTTTTCCACAATGTAGTACAGTTTAGGATTGAGTTAGCATGAGTAGTTATGCTTCCATAACTTTCCATTGAGACCTATTTGTGTCTACCTGTTTTACAATGAGAATCCAGTGAACCATTCCTTACATCAAGAAAACTGCTGTCGTATCTGTTCCTTTGCTCCTTGAATCCCTTGGGTCCAAGCATGGATGTGTATTTTCATGCTGCCTGTGGAGTAACTAATGCAAATATTGAGTATCTCTTTGTTGTCTCTTTTAGCAGTTTTATGTGGATTTGCTTCACTTTTCAATTGTTTCTAGTTCTGTTAATCTAACATCTGTGCTTAGGGTTTGCTTCTGCTGCTCTGTTCCTGTTACATGACCTGCGTGAATTGTCCCTATATGAGGAGATGAGGTACATTATGGGTGCAGACATAAGTGCAGTGTCTGCCCCTCTGTAATTGAGAACACTTTGCAGGAAGCGCTCTGAGTTGCAATCATCTCCTGGAACAAACAGAAGTTCAGTGTTGGTTCCTGGCAGGGAGGGAGGGAGGTAGTGGCAGAATCTAGCTGCTGCTTGAGAGCCTGCGGCCAGTTTTCCTTAGCAATGGCCCCTCCTCTCTCCCAGCCTGCCCCTGTTTCAGAATGGGAGGGGGAAAGGGAACAGAGGCAGCTTGTTTTAGGGGTTCTCCAGCTGGCTCTGGAGACTGGGGTGGG